CTATGGTTAGGGCGGCCAGAAAATGTTCCTTCCCCCTCACAGATTTGCATCTCAAAGACCGGTGGAGAGCGTGGGGGACTGGACGACAGGCCCCAGAGGGTGATTTGGCCAGAACAGGGTACTGGATGTAGGATGCTTCAGATCTGTCCCCAACCCCAGAAGATCACTGGGACTGAACCCACAGGGAAACACAGAATGCTTGCGGTACTCATTTGGAAGGAAGAAGCCTAAGTTCCCGCGCCAAACGCCCTCGCTGGTCTCCACCTCTCGCTGCATCGCCCCATCTGTATCAAGAGGGAGTCGATACCACACCAGCAGTGGATACGGGGAGGAGGAGGTATCCCCAGGCCGGGGACTCTAGCAGTACATCCACAAACTCCCCACCCTGATCCCCAGGCCCCCAACCGCAGTGGCCAGGGAAGTCCTGAACATAAGATCACCGGAAGTGAATCCTTCCGCGGTTTTCGCTTGCTTTGAGAAACTTCCGATTTCGTCTAGGAAGTCGGAGGTCTGCGCATCTCGTTGGTCTTTAGACCTGGGCTTGGGTCTCTGCGGGGTTCCTAGAGGCCAGTGGATAAAGAAAACACACTCCCACCCCCCACCCCCCCACCCCCGTTTTGTGACATCGTTAATCCTCCCTGCGGAAGAAATCTGGAAGGAATTAAAAAACAGGAATGAAAAAGTCAGAGCAATGGGAGAAGAGGGCAGGTCTAAAGACCTCAATTCAAGGGCTTCCTTAACATTTTCAGCCAGCAAAATATTGCCAAGCCTCCAGATCCTCGCCTGCAAACTAATGATGCTGTCTTACACAGGCTCTGGGAGTGCACAGCAGACATACAGATATGAGAGTTGTTCCTGTCTCTTTCTCTCCAAATCCCTCAAGGTAGCTGGATATCACAGGCAACTTGCCATGACTGAGACTTATCAGTTTCCTTCTCAGCCTTGAAGCTTTAATCAAGGACACATTTCTTGGTGGCCAAATTAGGCTCTTTGCTGGATATCAGGGAAACAAAGGTGGCCTGGCTGTATAGAGTTCTCCTCCTAAGGAGTTCTCCTCCTAAACAAAACAAAGCAAGACATCCAACAAAGCGTGGAGTTAGCAGCTGGTATTGGCATCAGACCTGCCATTTTAGTTCAGGAGCCATTTTTATCTAGTGACTCCTAAGTTTCAATTTAGGAGCCATTTTATCTAGAGATCTTAAGGCAATATTGCTTAGCCTGTGCCTGCTAAAGGGTCAATGCCATCCCAGCCCATGACCCCCAAAGTATGCTTGTGAAATTCCTCTTGCGGGCTATAAAGCTGCCCTGTGAGTGCCCACCTGCTGCTGTTCTTCTTGGAGGGAAAGCCTTGTCAGTTTGCTCTGACAATAAATCTCTCGAGTGGAATTCTGGTGTGTGGTGTGATCTTTGGACTTTGCGTGGACTCTGCGAGTGTCCTTTCACCTAGGGACTTGATTGTGAATTAAAGAGACTTGCTCACATGGGGCTTACAGTAAGGGAGTTGTAGTAATAAGTCGGTGTAAATACAGTATGGCAAGAAAGGTCCATGACAAGAATATGGGAGGTTACTGCAGAGGCACAAAAGAAGAGGTACCTAATTTAGGTTGGGAAGGTGTACAAAGAAGATTTTCCCAGAGAAGGGGCTTCTCAGTTAAGTCTTAAAGGATGAGTAAGAGTTTTTGAGATGAAAGGAGAGTCTTTGTGCTCTCCTTGCTGAGCTTGGGCCCCATCCACTCCCATTGAAGCAAGGTAGCTGAGATTTTCTTCCTATATCAGCAAACCTCCTTTGGGGTGTCTAAGACCCCAACTTTTTTTAGGGTGTACATGAATGTTCTGACTGTTGAAAAGGGATGTCCACCAAGATGATGTCAGAGGTCTGAGTAGTTTGCAGGCAGCAAATCCACTGACCTGACTGTGCTCCTTTCTTTGTGGTCTTCTTAAATCTAAATGGTCCCTAAGGGGACACTTTTCAAAGCTTCCCCTACCCAGGTAGGACTTAACACAGAAGAGGAGATAATAGTGATGTAGAGCAGCATAGTGAGTGGTATAGGTATCTCAAAAGAATACACCAAGACTGTGTTTTTCCAAAATAGACGGCATCATGGGTAGAGCTTCAAGGTTTGGGTTAGATAGTGTATTTTGCATTAGAAAAGTAGAACTTGGGTTCCTTGTGTGGTAGCTCTCATTCCAAACTTTTTGTGATGGTTTCCAATAAAAATCAGGATAGGTTACAGAATTACTACAAGCCTTCTCAAGGTCATTTTTGGCCAAAATGTAGGTCTCCCAAAGTGTTATATGGGAAGCATAGTGAGGCATGTCTTGCCTATTTTGACCCACCTCATCTGTGGTAGATAAGGCCCACAATGCCAAACGTAGATGAGCTTTTTCTGAAGTCCAGAAACGCTGCTTAGATGACTCCAGCCATCACAGACAATGAAAGCCAACTAGCTGAGCATGAAATACCTCTGAGGAATTAAAAACAAAACAAAACAAACAAACAAAAAAACAACCCTCTATTATTGCCTGTGCATTGCCTAATGTAGGAATCTCCTACATTAGGCAGCCAGAACTGCAGGACAGCACTTGGTCAAAGAAACTTGGAGATAAGAACTGATAGCTTTTGGGGCTGGGGTTGTGGCTTAGTGGTAGGGCACTCACTTAGCATGGGTGAGGCACTGGGTTGGATCCTTAGCCTCACATAAAAATAAATAAAGTCATTGTGTTCATCTATAACTAAAAAAAAAATTAAAAAAAAAAAGAACTGACAGCTTTTGACCTGTCCTTAAGAGAATTCCTGCCAGGCATGGTGGCACATGCTGTAATCCTGGCAGCTTGCAGGCTAAAAGATCAAAAGTTCAAAGCCAACCTCAGCAACTTAGTGAGACCCTGAGTAATTCAGCAAGACCCAGTCTCTAAATAAAATAATAAAAAGGGCTGGGTATGTGGCTCAGTGGTTAAGCACCACTGGGTTCAATCTCCAGTACCAAAAATAATTCCTGCTCAAGAACCCTGGGCCTTGTTCTTTTTCAACGAGCATCCAAGCTCTCCAAGACTCAAGTTGTCTGCAAATCCATCCCTGGTGTTCTTCCCATTATTAGCCAGACTCAGAAAGAAAAACCTCAGAAAATTCTACAAGGGCATGCAGTACAAGCCGCTGGACCTGTGGCCCAAGAAGATGTGAGCTACATGCCACTGAATCAACAAGCACAAGGAAGATTTGAGGACCAAGAAGCAGCAGCAGAAAGAACAGCTGTATCCTCTACAAAACTAGGCAATAAATGCCTGAGTGCCATGCTGCAATAAAACACAAAACTGGCAAAAAAAGAAAAAAAAAAAAAAAAAAAGCAAATCCATGGACCTCTAAGGCTTTGATGGACCAATAGGCTATATCCAGCCGCAATGCCATGCATATAGACCCAGACTGCCTTGACCTCCTTAGATAGGAATTGGGGGAATAAAGAGAAAGATACTGAATTTCAAAGGAAATTCCCATAAACCATGGAAATGCAGAAAGCACACAAACAAATAATTGCAACTCCTGAGGGACATGCCCTTGGCTCAGGCCTTTGACCTATGTCCTTAATAAATGTTAACATCCCACATCAATGGGTTGCTGTCTTTTTTGAGATTGTCCCCATTCTCCCTTGAATATGTATCTATTTTCCTAAATAAACATCTGTCTATCTATGCCTTTAGTGAGTAATGAAAATTTTTTTCTATCTAATGCCAAGAATCCTCTGGTCCTGAGTTGAGTTCCCCCTTTTCTCCAGGAATTTCTCAGACACTTCTTCAAAGATATCTCTTCTTCCAAGACACTGCCTGTGAAATTTCCAAATATAGGGGTGACTTTGATGTCAGAAGATCACAGTTAGGCTCAGAGGACAAAGACTGTTCTCAAAGGTCTCTTCCTGTGAAAACTCTGAGGTAGGACTTCCCCTGCCTTTGTCTCTATTATTGCCTTCACATATATATGAGGGACAGATGTCAGAGCCTGAGGTAGGCCCAGGACTCCTCCTGATGTTGCTGATCCCTGGACAGCCCAGGAGACTATTTACTTTGGATCCCATAAAGAACCTACTTACTGGGCTATGAGGAGATACATAAAAATATATAGTCAATTCCATCTGGAAGTGGTCCATCTTATCTTCTGTCCTTCTCTCTATGCCATTGCACCCAGCGATTGTGCCTCCAAGGCCTGCTCCATCATGTTAAACTAGGGATGTGTTTACATTCCTAGTTTTACATGTCAACTATTCTTCAAGGTGAAGAATACATCTGGGTTAACATTTGTCCCCCAAAACAAGACAATTGCATCTCAGATTATAAATTGTCCTCATACCTTCCTACTTTTTATCTGCTCTTTGTCCTTCTCTGGCACTGCCTCAGGAAAACATTAACCACATTTCTGGGCCTATGTCTTTACTTATAACACACAGTCTAACTGGTCATGCTGAGACTATGCCAGCCTTTCTGTTTTGTCGCGAGTGTACTCGTGCACTACTACCTGCCCCGTAAGGCATGAGTTATGTTTTGCACTTTTCAGATAGGGTGAACAGACCCAGCGACTCTTTCACCAAGGTCACCAGGAGGGGAAGGGCCACAACTGGGGTGAGCAAAGCTCTCCCCTACACTGAATTGCCTGAGAACCGGATGTGGGCAGCCGGAGGCCTCAGGAGCGCCAGGTTCTGGCTCCAGTCGCTGGCGGCCCCGCCCCACACCACCCCGCCCAGGACTCCCCCAACTCTCGCCTGGGAGGGCGCGCACACCTCCCAACTAGACTTCCGGGATCCCGTAGAGGCCGGAAGCGGGGCTCTCTCACTTCCGACTCGGCCATTATTTTCACTTGTTTGGGCCGGGGAAAGTGTACCGTGTCCGCGCTTAGTGGTCGCGTATGTGGACCGGTGCGGAGACGGAGGGTCGGCCGCCGGGGTCGCCGGACCCGCGCTGCTGTGGCCAGAGCCTGGGGCGGCGCGATCCCTGCGGCGCTCCGGAGGCGCTTCTTTGCCTCTTTGTCGCGGTCATCTGACCAGCCGCGTCTGGCTTGGAGCCGGCGGAACGATGAGCAGGGCAGACGTGGCCAGGTGAGCGGCGCTGCAGAAGCCTGGTCTAACAGGAGATGTAGGTACTGTGTGTCCAGCCCTGCACCGCGAGACGATAAGGAGCGTCAGAAATGGGTCCGACCCAGCCTTGGCATTTCAAACGTGAATTGTGACTTGGAAACGCTAAAAGCCCAATTTGAGATGCGCTGCTGGGCATTCGAACAGTCAGGGAAGCAGGAAAATGGCCTGCACTTTCTACCTGTGTGGAATCTCAGTAGACTTCACAGATAAGTCCATCTTTGTCTTTTTGAGGAAATTGAAGTCCAGAGAAAAATAGCTTACCCAGGGATTCGGGAGCATGGTGATTGGGCAGCATAACATTTACACCCTAGATATCACCCGGGTGCTGGTTTTCAAATAGCCATTTTACAGTGTATGAACTGGACAAACGTTTTCCCCAAACTTCAATATCAGCTAAATGAACCTCATTCTTTGGTTTACCAGATATGCGCTCCTATGTGCCATGTACACACACGTACCAAGATGCCTGGAAGCCAGCCCTGCCCTTGAGTCCTCCCAGTGAATCTTCCCAGGAAGTGGTTGTGGTGGTTGAGGGAGACCCATGTAAACTATGATTATAGTGTAAAGAAGCGATCTGTCAGAGGTTTGAGTGAAAAACACCCTGTGGGTTCACTGAGGCAATAACCAGTCTGAAGCTGGAGAGGAAAGCTTTGTAGGGAAGACTAGAAAAGGACTGGAATTTTCTGGTTCCTTTATTTTGGTGGCCATTCAGCAGTTTTGGAGAGCATGAGTGGTGAATTGCGCATAGAACAGTTAAAATATAGTATCATAATGAGAGGTACAGCAAGAAAAGCTCTTTTCCTAAGGGGGCAATCAGGAAAGCCTTAATGAGAAAATGGTATTTGTTTTGGGTCTGGAAGCATTAGTAACAGTTTGTTAGAAATTGAGAAAAGGAAAACAGGGAAAGTGTATGTGGCTTCAACTTGTTTCTCCACAGTGTTAGCCCCAAATTTTAGTGTGCACCTCTATCAGTAAGTTTTAACATGCACTCCCAGCAGGCTTATTCATAATTTAAAGATATGTACTACTATACAAATTTCAATACATACTATAAAGCATAAATAAATAGAGGAGTTAAATTACATCTTAGCCCCCCCCCCCCCCCATCCTTTGGGATATCTTGCATATCCCACATTGGAGACCATTGCTGTTTTTCTAGTCTGCATACATGGGGAAAAGGCAGGGGGTTGGCTGGGCTGCCAAGAGTTGTGAATGCCAGGCATAGACATTGAGGTTTTATCCTGTAGATGATGGGATTAAAAGTTTAATAAGGTAAGTAGGTCCCAAGAGATGCACAGAGAGATGGCTCTCATTGTGCTCTTTTTCCTGGAACTTTGTTTTTTAACTATGTGGAGGATCTGTCATCATCCTGGAATTAAATACTCTGAGACTCTGATTTCTTTCTTGATGTTTCTGTAGGTGACACTCCACTTTCTTCCCCAACCCTGAAGAAATATCTCCTGAGATCTGAACTGTAGTCTGTCATTTTAATTGGACTACCTGCAACTGGAGCAAGCTTCTCTTTGGAATCATAATGACCACAGAAGGCAGGGGAACTTTAGGCCTCATCCCCAGGAGCTCTGTTTTCCAGAAGCAGGCTGGGTGTCTGATTGTGAAGCAGCAGCCAGGGAACCAGACCAGGGGACCGGGCTGCAGTCTCCCGAAGAACCACCCTCCTGTCTGTGAAATCTTCAGGCTGCACTTTAGGCAGTTATGTTACCATGAGATGTCTGGGCCTCAGGAGGCACTAAGCCGGCTCAGGGAGCTTTGTCGCTGGTGGCTAATGCCAGAAGTTCACACCAAGGAGCAGATCCTGGAGCTACTGGTGCTGGAACAGTTCTTGAGCATCCTTCCTGTGGAGCTCCGAACCTGGGTGCAGTTTCATCACCCTGAGAGTGGTGAGGAGGCTGTGGCTGTGGTGGAGGATTTCCAGAGACACCTCAGTGTACAGGAAGAGGTAAACAGTGGAGTCTAGAATAGCATCTGGAAAACATTCTCTAGTGCTTGAGTTAGCTTGGGGAATAGGCATCCTCTGTTCCTTAGGTTCTAGGCTGATTTGCCTTTAGGATTTCCAAACCTATTCCATGGAGAAAGGATAAATAATTTTGTGCTCCAGTCCATAAACAAAAATGCAAATCCCAGCTAAGCCCTGAATGACTTTGTGAAATACTATGCTGTGAGCCGGGCTATAGCCTGGAGATCACACAGGACTCCTGGCAGGCAGGGGATCTGCACAGTGGTTAGAATATGGGGATAGATGAGAAGGGGCCTTCATTTGAGAAGTTCTCATTAGTTTTGTAAACTCAAAGTCAGTTCTCTCTGTTCCTGCCTCTTAGGTCCTTTATGAGAAATGATGTTTCAGGGCCTCTTGATTAGTTCTTCCTTTTGCTAGCTTTTCCAAGCCCAACTGGGGACTTTTTTTCTTCAGTACTAGGGATTAAATCCAGAGCCTCATGCATGTTAGGCAAGCACTCTACCACTAAGCTACATCACCAGCCCTTTTAAAAATATTTGAACAGGGTCTCACTAAGTTGTCTAGGCTGGCCTCAAACTTATTATTCTTCTGCCTTAACTGGAATTATAAGTGTGTACCAGTGTACCTGGCCTAACTGGCATCTTTTTACCTCTTTAATTCTAATTTCAGTTTTCTTTATTTCCTGGGATTCTCTCAAATTTAAGGCCAAGGTAGCTTGAACCAGAGGAATAGTTGGAAAGAGTCAGAAGTATGGTACATTAGAAAATCTGACTTGTAGGACCACAGAGCTAAAAACATCTGTAACCGTGTGTATTAGTTAGTGTTCAGCCAGAACAGCAGAACAAGTAGAAGATGTTTGTGTGTCTGTGAAGAGATTTATTGCGGAAAAGTCGCTAATGTGATTGTGGCTGGCTAGATAAGTCTGAAATTCACAGGGAAACCATCAACAAGGGCAAGCTGGAACTCTCCGGTATAGGCTGAATGAAGCTGCAGTGCACAGGCAGAGATTTTCTTCATGAAACCTTCAGCTCTGCTTTTAAGGCATTGGAACTGATAAAGTCAAGCCCATTCATCCATCATCTAGGGTAATCTCCCTTATTTAAAGTAAACTGAGTGTGGACTTTAATCAGATCTACAAAGTACTTCGCAGCAACACCTGGATTAGTGTTTGGTCAATGCCAAGTTGACACATGACACCATTAAGTTAGTTCCTCCTATTGAGCTTCTAGCTGCTCCCCTTCATCCCTTCAACATTACCTCTTTGTACTTTACCAGGGAAAACTAGTACAAAAAATTTCCCAAATACCCAGCAGGCCATTTTATTCAGTGCTTTTTAAAAAATAATTGCATATCTATAAATATGTCTACCTAGTCATCCCAGGTGATTGGAGTCCTGGGACTAGATGTTGTCCAGTCAATGCATAATTGATTGAATTTGTTGTCAGCTGTCATTTCCTTTGTGTAAACAAGTAAGCATACGTGAATAAATCAATCATCACAGCTCAGGTTAACAGGTAAGGAGCAAAACACTCATGGCTCCAGCCTAAGCCTGGGGTCCCTGGTCAGTGTTATATTTTCTGACGTGAACACATGAGGGCAAGACTGTCTTTCCTAGCAGGCTTTCATAAAATGTTTATAGAATGACTAAAGGAATAAATACACTTTTCTAGGATAGTTTGCCAGGAGGAGATTAGGGAAGTTTAGGGCAAATCAGAGCCATTCTTCCCATCAGGAGCAAGTCACTTTATTGCTGGAGGAAGAGCATGGACATGAATGTCCTTGGGAGCTGGAGAGAGTTATAGAGTAATTCCTGTGGAGCAGCAGAATCATACAATTAACAAAATGTTTTTGTGTCTTGTATCTTATTTCAGCTCCTACGAGGCTTACAAAATTGGTGTTGTAGCAGTCATTATCTCCATTTGAAAAGTGAAGTAAGCCCAGGGAGGTTGATTGGCTTATCCAGATTAAGCATCTAGTAAGCATTGATTTTAGCCAAAGTATTGTTATTGCTGATTACCACCAAGTGTCAGGACCAAGATTTTCTGCCTCCCTACATTCTAAGCCACTACATCTTTCTCTAGTCTCTTGCTGTAGAATACCAATTTAGAATGGAAATTGAAATGAGATTTTCATGCTTTCAAGGAAAGAAAACCAATACATCCCTGATAAGGAATTGGACGTGTACTAGAATTTAATTGTCAGCAAATCACAAGGTTGTGTTAACACAGTGCAGTTAAGTTCTATCATCTGCCCAGACCCATAGCTACTGTACTGAAAAGCTGTGAATCCTATTTGTAAGAACCTTCCAGTGAAGAACTTGGGAACCACACTGTTGAGATGTATTAAAGGACAAGTCCCTTGACATCTCAGCAGATGTTGCCAAGAAGCTAATCTGGCATGGTTTATTAAAAAAGTTATTTTCATTTCATGCTGTCTCATACATCCAGATCAAGGGAATTTCACTTTTTAAAAATTTCACTTTTCATTACTGGGTATCAAACCAGGGCAGTTAACCACTAAGCTACCTCTCCATTCCTTTTTACTTTTTATTTTGAGATAGGGCTTCACTAAGTTGCAGAGGCAGGCCTTGAATGTGTGATCCCCCTGTGTCTACTCCCAAGTCAGTAGGATTATAGGCATACACAACCACACTCAGCATAAATGTACTTTTTTTTTTTATAGATAATGATTTGTGTTTTCTGCTCCAAGTACTGCTAAAAATAGTAACCATGAGATTGTGGGGAGCTGGTTTGGTGACTAGCGCAGGTTAGAAATAAAATGGCTATGTTCTAAGGTGTCTTCAAGATCTCTAAAGATGGATGTTATCTGACCTTATTTGACTTTTTAATATCAATTTTTGGTGAGAGGTAGAATATATTGAAAACTGAATTTGCAGGTAACCATAAAGACCCTTAGCAACATTTCAAGGGGAAGTCAGTCAACAAATATTAATTGAACACTAGTGTTGGGCCAAGCATTTCTTTAGGAGCTAGTGATCAAGACAAAGTTCTTATACTCACAAAACTTAATATTCCAGTGGGTAAAAATGACAGTAGGAATGTAAATAAGATAAAGAGTATTACATATATCTGGAAATTATAACTAGGTAATTTAAGAGAATGACTATCCCTGCTTTGTTAATGTGTTCAGGGAAGACTTCTCTGAAGAGGAGACACTTTGAAAGAAGTTGGAAAAGCTTTCTTAAGGTTTGTTGTCCAGTGTTCTGGGGAATTGTTTCATCTGTCAGCTTCAGTAGCTATTTTGTGTAATCAGGTGTCACATGCCTGTTATTTCTTACTTCTTCTGTACTTCTTATTGTTCTCTTATGTAGTCTAAGGCCCTAGAGAATGTACTGAATTGCTATTCTTGCTCACATTTCTAGATGGTTTTTTGTAAGCAAATTTGTGTCTGAAGACCTAATACCGAGTGGAAATGGTTATAGAATCTGTTCCTCAAGCTCTTACCAAGAGGCTCAACAGAGGGATGGCAAGTAGGAGTGCAAGCTTCAGATTTTGTCAGAAGAACACTGTGGCTTTTCTTTCCCTGGGTTTCTTCCTAGAGGGGGCTTCATAGAGGTTTTGGGTTCTATACCTTCAAGGATGCTCTTTTTGAACCCAAATTATATTTCCTTATCTCTAGGTTTCAGCCTCAGCACAGGAACAGGAAGTACATATGGAGGAGACAACAGTTCTGGGTACAACAGAGGAATCTCCTACCTCACCTCTCAGTGGGGGTTCAGCCCCTGGAGCCCACCTGGAACCTCCTCATGACCCAGGGGCACACCACCTCCCCAATGGGCATTTCGGTACTCATATCCCCAACTCATACCTCAAGCTGCACTTCTCATCTGTCCGCTGGGGTCTCCTTTCCTTCATCTTTACGTCTCACACCTACTGGAATCCTGCATTGCCCTGCTATCTGGCCTCCTTCCTTTAATGACCTCATCTGTTCCTTTTACTTATTCTCCAATCATGTGTGCATTTAGCAAGTTTTTTCAAGCACATAGGAAACACACTGCTGGGGACCAAAGAGATATAGTACTCTATCTTTAAAGAATTATTATGTATACTGTCATGTGTAACTAATTAAAACAAATTTAAAAAAAAAGAGTTATTATGTAGCCGGGTGTGGTGGTGCACGCCTGTAATCCCAGCAGCTTGGGAGGCTGAGACAGAGGATCGAGAGTTCAAAGCCAGCCTCAGCAGAAAACAAGGTGCTAAGCAACTCATTGAGACCCTGTCTCTAAATAAAATACAAAATAGGGCTGGGGATGTGGCTCAGTGGCCGAGTGCCTATGAGTTCAATCCCCACTACCCCTCCCCTCAAAAAAGTTATTATGTATGTAGCAAGGAGTTAATCGAATGTGTAAAAAAAAGTCAACCTTATAAGACATATATGAGTGATATATATGAGTGATATCTCTGGCATTTGATCCTCTCACAAATGAACAGTGAAGGCAAGAGGAAAGTGGTAGACTATTAGTAGAGGATTTAGGCAAAGACCCTTCAGCAGTCATTGAGGTGGAGTCAAGGAGAGCTGTATTTGGAATTCAAAGCCCTGCTTGTATTGGAATTTTGACATCGAGGCTAGCAAAATTGAGGGGTGGTTGAAGAAATAGTTTCTCAGGAGGATTACACAGCTGCAGGGGAATATTGTGTATTGAATTATATGGAGCCTCAATAGAGGACTAGTGCAGTAAAATATGCAAATAACTACCTGAACATGGTGGGTAACATGGAAAAGGATAGGTCTGAGAAATACAGGAATGGACAAATTCATAGATGGGGGAATAGTAGGCTTTTTCTCAATGAAGGACTTATGGACAAAATGTGGGAAATCAGGAAAGGAAGGTGGTAAGAAACTGCATTTTAGAAAATCAATTTAAGGTATCTTCAGAGATCAAAGTGAAATGCCCAATACATAGCTGTGATAGGGGTCTGAAAGGAGAAGTGAGAAGTATGAGAGCCAGTGAGCTTGTGGACAAAAAAAGAACACTGGGCTGGGCTTCCAAGGGTGTCCATAATGACATGGCAGGAACAGGAAGAGACAGCTGGACGTGAGGAACCAGAGACCTGAGGGGAAATCAGGTTTGGCCAGTGATAGGGAAGCCATTGCAGAGAGAACATGGTCAGACACGGCTTCCTTCAGAGAAATTGAGGAGAGTGCAGTCTAGGAGCAAACCCAGTTCTTAGTTTGACTAGGGAGTTCTCACTGTGCCCTCCAGGGAACAACCACAGCACACTTGGGATAAAGCCTTTAGGAGGAGAGCCAAGAGTCAGTGTCGGGGCTGGGGATGTGGCTCAAGCGGTAGCGCGCTTGCCTGGCATGCATGCGGCCCGGGTTCGATCCTCAGCACCACATACAAAAAATAAAGATGTTGTGTCCGCCGAAAACTAAAAAATAAATATTAAAATTAAAAAAAAAAAAAGAGTGTGCATGGAGCTGCTTGGGTTCTCTTGAATCCTCTCCTTGGGAATATAGTTCTTATGGGAGCTGGGGGCTGGAATCAGCCCACTCAGTGCTTTCTTTCCTCCCTCAGCTCAACTTGCATCTATAGTTCCGGCTCATTCCCAGATGGGGAACTCAGGAGACCAAGTAATGGCCACTGTGCTTCAGATGGTCAAGGCCCAGGTGAGTGTGGCTCTTTCTCTTTTTTCCAAGTTCCTGTGCCTTTGGCCCAAGAATGTCTAGAGCTTATCTGTGAGACTGCCACATAAGAGCCAGCTACTATAACTCTTGCCTAACTTGTTACATTGGAGCTGGGTTCCTACTTGTAGTTAAGGAATTTTTGTCTTGCCCTGGACTTGGCCTTTCCAATGAGTCATCCAAACTCCTTTCCCCTGCCCCTTTCCCCACCAAGAACCAGTACCCTGTGACATCTACACCCTGATGACTCTGCCCTTCAGCCTGGGACTCTACCTGAGCAGTAGAAGCTTGTTATTCCAGGAGACTGCCACAAATGAGGACCTGTCAGTGGACTGTACACAGAAGAAGTGGAAAGGCCCTGCTGTCAGGCAGAGAGCCCTGTACCGGAACACAATACTGGAAAACTACAGCATCATGAACTCACTGGGTAATGATTTTCTTTCCTATTAACTTGAGAGTCTGCATTTTATACATTTTCTTGGCTATGTTCTTTTTCTTTTATTTTGACTTTTATTACAAACATTTACATTTCCAAACAAAGTATAGTGAACCTTGCTGCACTTACCACCTAGCTTTAACAATGATCAATATTTCCGTTATATCATGTTTGATGTCTAAATGGTGGCTAGTTTGGATTTTCTAAGTTGTAAGGAATAGAGAGTCACTCAGTCTATGGTCAGTAAAGAGCTATGTGTTTTAAGGCTTACAGTAATGGGAACCTAGAACAAATTGATCAGCTAGACTAGAATGTAGGAAACAGCCTCAAGAAGAATGAGCTACATCCCAGGACAGCCCAGAAGCCTCAGCATCACAGGCAAATAAATTTTACATGAGTGGTCCAATATGAATGTAACATAGCTACTCCCTGTGTCTGGTTCCTCTCTGCTTCTCCCACTATGACCCATTTATTTACTCTAAAACTTTTATCCCCATCATAGTTCCTCAATTCTGTTTTTGATTTCCTCATACATTCTTATTGTGGCTTCTAATGATTTGACTTGGCCCATGCATCATTTCAGCCTTAGGTCTTACTTCTAGTTGCTATAATTTTGCTCAGTTTCCAGGACAAAATTTACTTAGAGAGGGTTCTAATTGCTACAGCCACTAAATATCATCTGTACTTTGGTAGTGTCTGGCCCAGCCGCAGCAGAATCTAATGACTAACCTACAGACAAATTGTACTTGGGCCTTGTGCCTGGCCTTGGTCCAGTCATCTGGGGTGGAATGCCCAGGGTCACTTGCTGCCAAGTATGGTTGCATGAATTTCTCTCTCTGCAAAAACCAGGGAAGGTTAGATCCTGTGATTTACAAACTTATGACACTAGCCAACTTGTCCAAGGGTGAACATGAGAATCATCTTGTGATTTTCTATATGCTAAATGGTGTTATAGCCTAACCATAGCTAAAAGAGGATTGAAGGGAACTCACCTAGTTTTTAATGATAACCTATACTACTGTGCCTTTCCCAAGATTTCAAGGCAAATGCTCAACTCTTCAGTTTCCTTATTCTAAAAAATCAAGATCTTTAAGGCATTTAATTCATATTTGAAATTATTGATAATTTTTGGTTTCATGGGAGTACAGAACTTTCTCCTAGCATTCACTGCTTGGGGACCCAGCCTATCCACTTTTGAGTTCTGCCATCTCCTTCAACACTGTTCCACAGTATTTCTGAACCCATACCCACATCTTGTCACTGTCCTGTCATACAGAATCTCTCCTTTTTATAAACTTTCCTAGTCATATTCTCACAACATAATCTCTCACCAACTCACTCTTATCTTTGCCCTCTCTCTTGTATTTAACTTGAAGTGTTTGTTAGCTTTCTCTCTCCCAACATCTTTTCTGGTAGCCATGGTTGGAAAGGAATATAGAGTTTGTCATTTTACCCAGGAGACAGCATCATAGTAACTTCTGGAAGAGTGTACTATGCTTTGCCACCTCAGCCCTTGCTTTTTGATTGTCTATCTATCTGTTCTGGCTCAACATCTTGTCTGTCCTGGTATCTCTTTTTCTACCCTCTTCCACTTTTGTTTTTCTATCCTGAATTTAAAAAAAATTAACAAATTGAGATATTTCCTATTTCCTCTTCCCTTCTCAAGATGTTCTTTTATTCCTTAACCATAAAGGTGACTTTTTTTTTTTTTTTTTTGACACTAAGCTCTTGGTTCTGTTTCCAGAACAGGGCATAAAGAGAGTAAAGGTTATTTTCTTCTTTCTTTTGGCAGCAGGTGAGAATACGATGGAGAGTTCTGAATTCACTCCAAAGCAGACCATTTCTAAAGGATCAGAGTCATCTGATAGGTCACCAGGGGGACTCTTTGGGGTCACTTCTATGGGACCAGAAGTTGAAGATGTCTGTGAAGATACTTTGAGGAAGCTGGAAGGGCAGCCCTCAGATGAAGAGGGGAACAGTTTGGAAATCAATTTTTTGGAAATAACAGATGAGGATAAGAAGAACTCCACAAAAGACAGATGTGAGGATTATAAGGAAGTAGGGAAACATCCAAATCTATCCCCCAGTCCTGAGGAATATCAAGGAGTCCCAAAGGGACAGAAATTCTTTCAGTGTGATGAATGTGGCAAAGTGTTCTATCGGAGTTCACACCTCATTGGCCACCAGAGAATCCACACTGGAGAGAAACCCTATGAGTGTAATGAGTGTGGTAAGACCTTCAGGCAGACCTCCCAGCTAATTGTTCACCTCAGAACTCACACTGGGGAAAAACCCTATGAATGCAGTGAGTGTGGGAAGACCTATCGGCACAGCTCCCATCTCCTTCAACACCAGAGACTTCATAATGGGGAGAAACCCTATAAATGTAATGAATGTGCAAAAGCTTTCACTCAGAGTTCTCAACTCATTGATCACCAAAGAACCCATACTGGGGAGAAACCTTATGAATGCAAGGAATGTGGGTCAGCTTTTAGTCGGAGTAAAAATCTTGTCCAACATCAGGTCCTTCACACTGGTAAGAAACCTTACAAGTGTACTGAGTGTGGGAAAGTCTTCTGTTCTAACAGAAATCTTATTGATCATCAGAGGATCCACACTGGAGAGAAGCCTTATGAATGTAATGAATGTGGCAAGGCCTTTAGTCGGAGTAAATGTCTTATTCGACATCAGAGCCTCCACACTGGGGAGAAACCACACAAATGCAATGAATGTGGGAAAGCCTTCAGTCAGAATTCTCAACTCGTTGACCATGAACGAATTCATACTGGAGAAAAGCCCTTTGAATGTAGTGAGTGTGGTAAGGCTTTCAGTCTAAGTAAGTGCCTTATTCGGCACCAGAGGCTTCACACAGGTGAAAAACCCTATAAATGCAATGAGTGTGGAAAATCCTTCAATCAAAACTCTCACCTCATTATACACCAGAGAATCCACACTGGTGAGAAGCCCTATGAATGTTATGAGTGTGGGAAGGTATTCAGTTACAGCTCTAGCCTTATGGTACATCAGAGAACCCATACTGGGGAAAAGCCCTACAAATGCAGTGATTGTGGGAAAGCCTTTAGTGACAGTTCACAGCTTATTGTGCACCAGAGAGTTCACACTGGAGAGAAACCTTATGAATGTATTGAATGTGGGAAAGCTTTTAGTCAGCGTTCCACTTTTAATCACCACCAGCGAACTCACACTGGAGAGAAACCCTCAGGTCTGCCTCACTCAGCATCGTAAGGCATGGTTTTCTTGAAAAAGAGAATAAGGAACTTCAGTGAAGTTTTTTTTTTTCCCTTGGTGATACTGGGTATTGATAATGGTAATAGGCCTTTCACATGCTAGTCAAGCATTCTGCTACTGTGCTGTGTCCTAGCCCTTTTTCAAAATTTTTATTTTTGAGACAGAGTCTCATTAAGTTTCTCCCGCTGGCTTTGAACTTTCAATCCTCCTTCCTCAGCCTTCGGATTAGCTGGAATTACAGGTATGTACCACTGTGCCCAACTTGAAGCTTTCTTTATAAGAATCATGTTCATCCTGATCTCCCCTGGAACCTTTCATCTTCGTGGACCATTGTCAATTTTCATTGAGTCACCAAATTGGGAATAACTTACTGCAGTCCTTCTCCATTATTGGGAAAGTAAGGACTATGCATTTCATTTACTTGTTGGTTTCCCTATTCCTTTATTTTTTTAAGCTGTTTTAATGTCTATCTCATTTTTTATTTATCCATCCCACAATCAGACTGTGTGCTTCTCAAGGACAAAGGTGATATCTGTGTATTTTAGGTCCCCCATTTCATCATTTCCCAAAGGCATTCTTCAAGCTATGATTCCTTCTCTTCCTCTTGGCTGTGGTCTCCATGTACTGTTTAAGCTTTCTGCCACCTGTAGCTTATCATCTGTGTTTTCTGCCTAGAAAGCTTTTTTCTTCCTTTTTGATAATCTAAAATTCTTTCATAACCTTCAAAAATCTATCTCATGTCTTAAGGATTTTCTTCACCTGCTTCTTTATTCCTCTTAAACATCTATTGATTTGACCTCAGTGCTTTAAATGACTGGTGCTATCAGGTGTAACTGTGTTAAATTGCTTTGTAAATGTTTTCAATGCACAGTGTTTACTTTCATACCCCCTTACTTTTGGCTCATTGAGGTCAAGTATATATCTATATCTTTCAGCATATAGATAATAGTTTGTTTATACTAGCTGTTAAATAAATAAGTTTTAAACCTCAACTCTGAATTGAGTTATGCAGTTTCTTCTCTCCTTCAAGCTTCTAAAGGTGAAAGTGCATCCTATCATGGACTATCATATACAAAAGTCTCACTGATATCTCTGTATATGTTCCTAGAAATCTTATTATTACTGGTATTTCTGACTCAAAATTGTGTGTGTGTGTGTGTGTGTGTGTGTGTGTGTGTATGACAGAGTGTCTAGGTGTTGTCTAGGGCAGTCATGTCCCAGTGAGATATATATTGCTCTGCATACTGACTGCAGTTCCAAACTTGTTGACTGCATCCTACTTCCTCAATAAACAGGTTAAGAACAATACGGAGATTTGAGAATTCAGTGAGATGCATTCCTAGATGATTGGAATTCACAGTGATGAGTTTTGTGGTAAGATTATATAGTAGAGTCAAATGGATAAATTTTTTCCTTATCAACCTGTTTAAATTCAGTTGCCATCCTAATTACAAGATGAAAGCTATACATTCAGACAATTTTAGGTCCATCTTTCATTCCTCAAAGACGTAAGAAACAGAAAGTCTCAGAACTTTTTTCTGTAGTCATTCACCAATCATAAACTTTATTGTCTTTTCCTTTCCACTGTTACCATGGGGCCCTAGTGCCAGAAGACTTCACCTCCAGTGTCTATCTCTTTCAATTTCCATCTTCCAAATTTCTTCTTAACAGAAAGAGAGTACTGGCAATATAGCAGAAATGGCTGAAGAGGCTACAGGTACAGTGTCAGATATATAGCCTGAAGGGGAGATTTTGTGAACTGTGGTTTATGTCTAATACTGGAAAAGAAAGGGAAGAGTTGATGTTTAAGAAAATAATCAGATGTGATTCTAGGGGAGACATCTCAGACAAACTTAAAAAAGATTCTTGGAAGTATAAATTTTTTTAGGGGGCGGACTTAAAAAGATTACTGAATTCAGGATACAACTTGAAATATATCATTTGTGAATTATATTTGTTTTTTTAATATTTATTTTTTAGTTTTCGGTGGACACAACATCTTTATTTTATTTTTTTTATGTGGTGCTGAGGATCGAACCTAGCGCCCTGTGCATACCAGGCGAGCGCGTTACCGCTTGAGCCACATCCCCAGCCCATTGTGAATTATATTTGTTTTCAACTTTTTTTTTTGCAAGCAGTAATTTTATTAAAAAGCAAAGTGAACGAAACAATCACAGCTCCCAGTGCAGTGCCGGGGAGGGGCAAGAGTGCCTCAACTAAATTTTTGGTATTTGTTTCCATTTTCCTTTGAAAGTTATGAAAGAGTTCTGCATATAGGAATGTGTGTGTCAAGAGAGTTACTTTGGGAGCTTCCAGATCCAAAGAAGAGCTGACCCTGTACCACTACATAGCCACGTGGGCTGCACATGGGCAACCTTCCACCTCGAGTTGGCCTTATTGGTTCTATCATCTGTAGAACTTCCCTGCTTATTGAATACTGCAATTTTATCATCTGGTTCTTATCTATTCATTCTCTATCACACTAAGTCTCTTGGGGGTGAGGAACAGTTCTAGTCATAATGTTATTTGCCCACTACCACCATCCTGGTGTCAGTGTTAAATAGAAATGAATGTCCTAACTTCCTGGGAAAGCCCCAGGCTTTTGGGAGGGGAGGGGATGAAAAGTGGCTACATTTGAAAGTCATTCCTCTCCCTATTAGTTATTGCTAATTAAATAAAATTACTGTTATAAATTGTTTGGATCCAGTTATTTGACTATATTATCTTTTCTCATAGTTTTATTTCTTAGTTTTGTAGGTATACAATTTGTTAAATATTCATTTATCTCGTTTTCCAATCCATTGCTTATGCATCAGTAAGAACTTCAAAATGTTGAATAGTGCATAACAGGTATTCCATGTCTTCCTGTTAGAGGTAATGTTTTTAGCACTTTGCAGTATCAAAGGGTTCATTTTGGGTTGATTTTTTTCTTTTAATTGAATTTAGTAAGTTTCCTTCTGTTTCTATTTTTAGAAGAAGCAGTGTAGTGGTTAAGAGCATAGGTTTGGTTCCTGGCATCATGCATTCAAATCCTGGCTTCATTGCTTTTTTAGGTGTGTGATCCTGGACAGATCACTTTGCTTTCATGTTTCTCAGTTCCTCCATCTATAAAATGGAGCTACTTCATAGGATTGTAAAGTTTAAATTAGTTAATACGTGTAAGATACTTAAAACAGTACTCAGCACACAGTATACAATATAGCAATTATTATACTTTGAATTTTTTCTAGTGGTGCTCTATCTAAATTTTGCTAATATATAGCAAGGAATCATCATGTTTACTGTCATGTGAAACAGGCATAAATTTGCACCTAGTAAACTGTAAAATCCTTTATTTCCGTATATGTGGTTAAAATTCCTTTTTCGTATATGGTGTTTTTCATCTTTGTTTCCTTTTAGTTTCTTCTCTGTCGGGATTTCCAAGTGCCACTCCTTTCTTATATTAAATTGTATTTTTTCTTGAATGTATTTTTTAATATGTTCTCTTTTTGCCTCAAGTTGAAGAACATTTTTATTGGCCTTGCATTACATTTGTTGTTTCCTCATTAGTGAAAGATGAGAGCTTTCCCATCCTGAGATTGGCCATAAAACAGGGAAAATAGATTTTCTTTGAATCCCTTCATAGTCTAATTGGATGTTTAGATTTGAAGCTAGAAGATTTAGTGGTGAATTTGCATAATTATATGCTTCAGCAATGAAATGGTTTCCCATTTGGTGAGTTGGCTAAAAACCATCTAGGACCAGCTTTTATATCTAGCATGTTTTTGGCTCAGCCTCTACACTGGCTATCCAGTGGAGCCTGTTTCCAAGTTCTCTGCCTCAGTGGGAATAACTAGCTTTATTGTGAAAGAGCTCAATATGCAAAAGCCTTCAGTTAGACTTTATTTTGCTTTTGTGGCTGTACATTGGGAAAATAACCTATTCTTAGTGTGTGTGTGTGGGGGGGGGGGGCATTTGATTATAGCAGATATCATCCACCAAAGACTACACCTACAAGAAAGTCTTCTCATTTGTGTCTAGCAAAGCCTTTGGTTGTAGGTCATTTCTTACTTGACATGGGAATATCTATGGGCCTTTTTGATTTTAAGAAACCACTCATCACGGGGCTAGGGTTGTGGCTCAGCGGTAAAGCACTCACCTAGCACCTGCGAGATCCTGGGTTCAATCCTCTGCACTACATAAAAATAAAATAAAGGTATTGTGTCCATCTACAACTAAAATAAAAATTTTTTTAAATAAAATTCCATCTTCCAATATACAATGGCACAGACTAAACATTCCCATTCTAAAAGTGAGGAATAGGGGTATGAAAAGAAGGGATTTTTTCCAACACAAATGTAATCCAGCAAATCCATAGATCCATGTTTAGATCCATGCCACAAGATGGCATGAGGTGGCTCCAAAGGACTATAGCAGCCCACCCCTATGGCCATGTTGGCTATCCCACATGACTTCTCTCTTGGGCTAGCTCCACTTTCTGCCTGTAACTTTCCTCTGCAGGCATTCCATATTCCTGGCATCCCTAACTTCTTGGAGTCTTCATTGCATCATTGTCAGCACTTTCAAAGCTTCACACATTGCTCTCTCAAGGGCTGCAGGGATTTCTGACCCTGAAACACATTGCTTGGCCTCTCAGACCCTCCTTTGAAATCTTGGTGGAAGACACCATGACTCCCAAATCTCAATAATTTGCATTCCTACAAAACCAGCACCGGAATAAAATAGACATTATTATTGCTGTGGGTATATAGGTGACTGCATGACCAATGTAATTCTGCAGACTGTACACTCAGAAAAATGAGAAATTATATCCCATCTGATTCAAATGTATGATATATCAAGATCATTGTACTGTCATGTGTAACTAATTAAAAATTTTAAAAAAGAAATAAAAAAAACCCAGCACCATGTGAACAATGCCAAGGTATCCCACCGACTCATGAAGTAGCCAGGCCCCATCAGATGATGGCTGCAGCAGCCTCTGAATACCTGCAGGGCTTAGCATTGTGAAACAAATTCTGCAGAAGCAGCTTTCTAGTCTGTCCTGTGTGAGCAGGGCTTCCTAGTGCTCTCTTCTCAAAGGGATGTCTTTAAAGTGAACTTTCACTTTTACTTCTTTAAGATTGTGATGGGTGGAGTCTTGCTGATTCCTGAGATGCCCTCAAGGCATTTCTTCTTTGCAGTCTCTTTGCAGAGTACTTGGTTTCTCTTTAATGGTGCTAATCTTCTCAGGGCCACATCTTTATTGGCCTGTTTCACATTTGCTTTTTTTTTTTGTCCAAACTGTTAAGTTTTTCAATTTTTTTCTGCTCTGCTTTTTGCTTGTGGTTATCATAGAAATCCTGACTAAAAGCTGCCAGCAATAATCATGCCACTGCCCAAATGCTGTGGTGCCTTGAAATTTTCTCCACTAGAATAATTATTCTGTCACCTTTCAATTCAGTCTCACACAAAGTCTCAGGGCATGGATAAAATGTAAAAAAGTTCTTTGCCAGAAAGTGGCATATATGGCCTCTATAGCATTTCCCAATAGAATGCTCATTCCCATCTAAAACCTTATAAGCATGGTCTTTACTGTCTTTATTCCTTTTGGCACTATGGTCTTCTGAAATTACATCAGAATTGTCCAGTAAGCTCTGTTTACAACATGTTAAGTCTTCCCTATCCTGCACCTCAAATCTTTTCCAAACTCCTCCCACACACTAGTTCCATATGCTTCTGAACCACATTGTCAGGTATAATCACAGCAACAACCCCATTTCCTGGTACTAATTTCCTGTGTTAGTCAGCTCTTTGCCACTGTGGCAAAAATATTTGACACAGCTTCAAGGAAGAAAGGTTTATTTTGACTTACAGTTACAGAGGCAGAATATTTGGTTTCCCAAATGGTACTATTGAAAAACCAGCCTCTACCTCAGAGCAAAGCCTGTCCAAGGAAGGGACATGACCTTTGTCCTTGGAAAGACCCACAGAGCACTCCTAGGCACATTCCCACCCTGTTAAGTTGTTTATCTACGAATAACAGGAGAGATCTGCAGCGCCAGGTGTCCCTGACTCAGGCTAGGTGGAGACCCATAGTAACCCCCTAGCAGCCACCAATCAGCATGAGACAGGGAAATACCTGGGATGCCAAATGACCCTCCCAGTAGTTTATGGTGGTTGATAACGTGTTGGGAAACCATGTAATTCAGCATGAACACCCCTGTTGGCTTAACCAATCAGTTCAAATGAATCCCCCTTTTGTAGTAACCAATCACCCCTACCCAACATGTTCCCGCCAGTGAATGTGCTAATCATGTTTTAGAGTTGTTATTTGATTTTCCCATGGTGTGTGATGATTTGCTAAGAGATGCTATGATGTATGTGGGGTTCCCTGCCTTCTCCAAAGAATGTATAAAACTGCTGCAAACCCTGGGCTCGGGGCCTCTCAGCGTCACCAGTTGCTGTGTGTGCACTCGGAGGACCAAGCTAGCTCTCAATAAACACCTGTTTGCTGTTTACATCGATCTTGGTCTCTGGTGGTCTTTTGGGGGTCCTGAATTCGAGCATAACACTATGTGGATTGTAGATAAAATTGCAAAGAGGCCAATCATTTCTCATGGTTTGGATTAAATGAAATCACTGAAGAGTAATCCCAGGACAATATATACTTCCCTTAGACTGAATAAGGAATGACAGCTACGACTTCATGTTTTAGGCCATTTGGACATATCTAAACACTACGTGGAATACATTCAATATATGCTTTAATTCCCATTTTGAGAGATTGAAAAATGCTATATCCCTCCTCTAAGACTATATAAAGCTCACCAAAGGAGGAGAGGTCAGAACAATTGCAAGGATACTACACCCATAGCAGCCCTGGTAAGTCCTGATGTCAGGAAGAGACCATCACTGAAACCTCTCCAGTCAGCATTCAGGCTGCCTTGATAATGAGGAGAAACTGACATTGCTTAAGCTGTCAAAAGGGAACCACTAGTGTCCTTAAGTTTGAGATGTAAGTATCGTATTATAGGGGCCACTTTTGGAGAAGGTATTCATGGCAGTTGCTACCGTGCTAAGCTTAAAACCACCAGTAATTGTATTCATTCCAGTTTAAGCTCTGCATTTAATAATGGCTATCCATTGTCAGCATCTATCCTTACAAAGTGACTCAGAACAATGAGGTAGTTAAAGTTACTTTTAGAAAGTCTTTCCAAAGATAGCCACATTGGGTCTTGTCTCTCTTGACAGAACTGTAGGTCACAGAGTCTCTTCGAGGACTCCACAGCCTCTGAGTGTTTGGCTCTAATCACCAGTGGGATCCCAGCTATTATCAATGACTTCACTGGGACCTAAAGAAGAGGTTAGAGGCACAAGGTCATTTGTTCATTTGCTCACTCAACAAATATTTATTGAACACCTACCCAGGAGTGTGCCAGAGCCTGGAGTTCAGTTATGTACAAGGCAGAACTGTGTTCTGGGAGGGAAGAGATGAAACATGCTTGAAGGGTTAGAAGCAGAGCTTGGGCATCTGGAGGGGGAAACAAAATATATTTTGAGGCCTAATAATTATAAGAAATGGGTAATCAGAAAAAAAATTTCTCCGTATCTAGCAGTAATATAAATTGGTGTTTCTCAAGCGACTCTCTTTTGAAAGACTTAAAAATGAATTTCTGTGCAAACCACAAAAGTTGGTGGTGCTTTGTTATGGCA